AACATGTCGTGACTTAAACATAAGAACATATTATGGCTAAGGCTACAGTTATACACGTCATAATAATAATATTAAACATCCTGTCTGCTGACAGTCATCAACTCTTCTCTCTAGTTATCCTTGACCAGATGTACCCTGTAGAAACTCATAAGCATGACTAAGCATTTAACAGTCTAACTAGACATCCTATCTCCACTAAACATTTCTAATACATAAAGTATCTACCCAATATCTATCTGACTAAAAATACCTAACACTAACAAAGTGATATGAGAAGCAGAGTTTTCAAATAGCATATAGAAACCTTCAAGGTCAGCTGGGAGAGCAACCCAAGCGGCCACTCCGTCCGGCCCCACAAACAGTTTTTGCACATCAACTGCAATCTTCCTCTCTGACGTCTCTACCCTCTAGATAAAGCCGTCCCAGAGAGCCTCAAAATCATCATTTTCATCACCACACAGAGAATAATTAAAGGTGCAATGCAGCTGATCAACCAACAGGTTCAGTGTACTTGTGAAGTATTGAAATCCATGAAAGCCATAAATTGAATGTGTGTACAAGATCAGTGTTTTCAGGAGAGTCCACAAGTCCCCACCAAACATCAGCTGAGGAATCAAAAAGCAAGTCAACACCCACGTTGCTCAATGTACAGTACATTAAAATGAAAATGTTAACGTGTTTAACCTATGTAAAATATACCATCTTAATACACAAAATAAATTAAGTGTATTCTACCTTAGAGTCAGTTCAGTGCTGACCTGTTGCAAAACCTCAGTAAAAGAATAGGTCTGTAATTTTCACATGCCACATTGCACATACCAACACTGGCATTTTAGCACCCACTCACAGCTACCAACAGCTAACAGTAGCCAGCAGTAGCTACCGGCACGCCCACTCACACAGTGGTCACAGCAAGTGGCTGTGGCAGCATCTGAAGCTCGGCCCCTCAAATATGCTTCTAGTTTTTTCATTCTGCTACAGTATAGTATATATCTACTGTACTGTATATACTATACTGTACAGCTCAAACTGGAAGCTTCTGTGTATGACTATAATATTCCCTGCTCTGTGTTCACTAATATTTTCAATAGAAGACATGCAGATGGCTGAGTATGGCCAAGCAGCTGAAACCATATTCAAATAGCTCATTTGTGTTTTAGCTGTTTGTGGCACTGCCACACGTGGGTTGTGGGACAGGATCTGAACTTTCTGACACTTTATTTGGTGAGTGACCCTTTTGGTAGGAAAGCTATAAACAGCAAATTGATTGCTAAGATGTGCTTTCTGCATCACTGTCTGGTATGGCAGCACTACTGCTATGGACCGCAAGCGCCTGCAGAGAGTGATAAAGACTGTTGAGAAGATCGCCAGGACTCCACTGCCCTCTCTGAAGAGCATTTACCACCACAGGGTGTGTAGGAAAGCTGCCTCCATCCTCAAAGATCCCACCCACCCCCAGCAGGACTGTTCACTTCTCCACCCTCTGGCCAGAGGTTCAGAAGTGTGAAATGTAGGACCACTAGACTGAAAAACTCTTTCTTTCCCTCTGCCATCAGACTCCTAAACAGCTGAGGAGTTTATTACCAGGAAATATGTCATGTACTGTTTACATTCTTAATTGCACATTGACTGTTGACTGCTGCACATGCTGCTCCCATGCAGAATACATTCTGTTATATTCTTATATATTTTTATTATATCTCTGCATTTGCTGCTTAAAGTGCCTTAGATTTTGTGTTCTTTATTTATCTACTTTATATTTCATTTGTATTTTGTGGCATTCATGTGAACAGCAAAGTAAGAATTTCATTGTACAGGAAAACACGTTTTCTAACTGTGCATATGACAAATAAACACTTTGAACTTTGCTATGGGACCAACATGCTGACATTTGCTTTATTTAACACACAGAGAGAGTATGTAATAAAAATCATACCTTGCCTATGACACCAGAGTTAGGACTGAGATTATCATTAAGAAAGGCAAATTCAAATTTGAAAATTACAGTTGCATGTTGTATATACATGACATGGAATTATATGCTTGGTATTTGGTCTCTCTCTCCTCCAGACTGATTTCCTGGACTTCACAGTGGACACAGTGTTACTGCTTCACCAGGCTTCCAAGCAGGGTCAGAGGCCAGTGTGGAGGTTTGTTTGAGCCTCATCAACTGGGGGAAGTGAGATGCCAACTCAGCCTGTCCTCAGCAATTGGTGGTGAATATACAGTATCTTTCCATTATATGGAATCTGCCACCCTCCCAATGCCCAGGACTGGTTGCAACATCACGGTCCCATTTAAGAACATGTTCCTGCAGACCACTGCTTTTTCCTTTCAGGTAAAGAACTAAAGTTTTAAAATGTTACATTTCTGGAAATGCATTAGTTCAACTGTGAATAAAAGGGATTAACAAGATTCCAAAACAGCCACCTTGCAGAAAGCCGATATACTGTTTCTTATACTCCAAAGAATTACTCAGGCTCATTTTCTTTCAGTCTTTTACAGTGAGTGCACTGCCAGCTAGCATGAAGCAAACTAATTTAAATTTATTTTTTAAACACGGTGATGCAGTCTGGCTTTATACTCTTATTTGACAGCTGTTACTCCTCTTTACCCCAGATATACTGTACCTAAAGTTGCTTCTACAAAATGCTTCTATTCAATTAATTTGCCCAATATTATACTGTATCTGCACTTGGTCTAACCAGAGCCTTATTTACCCCTCTCCTAGGTGAACAACCTCTGTTTTACTATCAAAGGGATGGACACCATCGTCTCCAAAATGACAGAAAACATACTGTCTGAGGCCCCTGCTGGAGACTTTCCAGGGCCGTGGTTTGGCAAGTTGATCATCTCCAGCCAGCGCTCTGAAGGCCACCCCAAGCCCTGCTCATGGGTCTATTACCTGAAGGGGGTCCGCTTTGAGTCGTCTTAGAAAGAGACATGTACACTAACAAAAGGATGCACACACAGATGTCAGAATGAATGCAAATAGGCCACCCCGTGGACTCAGTTCTTTACTGTGTATGTTTTGTGAAGCTTCATGTGTTGTCATTTAGTCAGTGTCTGAACAATGTTAATGCCAAAAATTTCACTGTGTGTATTTATGTGGTTTAAATAATTAGTGCCTTCATGAATTAATAATTTGAATAAATCCTGCAGAGAAAACCTGCCCATGACTATCACCACACACTCATTTCCACAGGGGGGCAATCACGTCCAGTGATTTCCTCTTGACTCCCAGGTAGTGGTTCTCCAGTGATGGAGGAAAATACATAATTTACCAGACTTTTTTGCTTTTTGGCCTTCTCCATAAGATGAGTGTTTAAGTGTCAACTTTCCACCAGGAGATAAGTTGTCTAAACCACTCTGTGTAGGCAAGACTAGCTACTAGGCTAAAAGGGCAGAGCTGGGGGAGACACTCATTACCAAAGGTTAGATCTGTCACATTACACACACACACACACACACACACAAACCATTCATGGGGAGCTGAGTGACAGTTTAAAAAGACACTGCTCTTACTCTGAGAGCAAATCCTCTGATCATCCCATTAGACAAAACATACATCTCCTGTGAGTGTTTAAAAGAAGGAAAGGAAATATATTGTCTTTGTTCAGACATTAAAAACCGTGAGTAGAGTGGATGTAATCCTGTCTTACATTGCTTGGATTGCTTACTGACAATAAACCCAGAGGAGGGAATTGCTGTCTTGGGGCACAGGGCCTTTACAGTCAGGGCTGTGGAATGATCTGCCTGAGTATACAAGGCTTGCTGAGTCAATATCGTATTTGCTGAATTATGCTGAGCTGCCTTTTATTTTTATTTTTATTTTTTATTTGTACCACTGTTTTGCTTAGCTGTTGTACAGCGCTTTGTACTTTTGTTTGATCTTATTTTTTTACTTTCGAAGTGTCCTAATGCTGACCACTCACCTCTGAATGGATCACAACAGATAATATTTTTACACCGCGATGAATATATTTACTCAAAATATGATTTCACCGAAATTAAATAACCGTGTAGTAATAGAGTATGACGCACCGTGAATTCTAGTACGTGCAAACAGTCCCTACAAACTCTCCAAGCCACAGAAATGACCCGTTATCTTTACTCGATAGATAGTAGTAGGTGTTAGAAGTCATATAGCGTGGGCGGGTTGTTTTGGGTTGGGTGATGTTGTGATGTAAGAGAGAAGGTGGGGTGTAACCCCCTCCCTCGTAGAGCGCAGTATGAGCGCTCCGCAGGAAAAGGATGTGTGAGCAGGCAGCTCGCTACTGTAGGGACGGAGTCCACAAACTGCTCAACAAAGAACAAGCCAAACTTCGAGCCCAAGAAACCCGCGAGCAGCCGAATCCCGTAGCCGGTCAGGACAGCGAGCCCGCGACGGCAGCGCAGTCCGGAAACAGCGGCGCCCAGCCCGGTGGAATCGACGGGCTCGTCCGCTGGATCGTCACCAAAATGAGCGACAACAAGAACATCTCCAGCCGGGAGTACGCCTCCAGCAAGGAGGAGGTGGCCGTGGCTCAGGAGCAATTCTTCGCCCCGGAACCGCGAAGAGGCATCTCTGTTATTTTGGATGTGAGTATAGAGACCATCAGCCTGAGAGGATTAGGGGGGTGGGTACGCGGGATGAAGACATCCAGTGAGCAGTGTGTAAGGACCGGTGCAGTGCGTACTTACGCACAGACACAATGTTGCAATTAGTGCAGTTAGTAATGCACAGTCTTGCAGCTCGAGCTTAGCTGAGTAGGCGGGAGCTTTGCCCGGTTAACTGACACGAAATGTACACGACTCGGAAACATTTTCATCTTTCTCCACGTTGGCCCATTCAAAAATTCAGTGTACAGCTCGTATCTCATTGAACAGTACTCTCTGATGCTTCGCATCTTAGTGAACAATGCGTGGTTTAACTTGCAAACTTTTCTATAGAACCAAATGTTTATAAAAGCCAGTGCAATTCTGCCTTACATGTAGTTTTACATGTCTTACTCGGTGCGAAGGGAGTATAGCGCACACTGGCACGTTTCTACGTGAGCAGCTATACCCACAGTCAAGACAATTTTAACATACGTTAATTATTAATGAAAATGTCTTGCTACCATATTTTATTTATCACTTAACCACAACCCATTTTATCCCAACACATTATAGATAAACCTTAACAAAGATGCAGCCACCTTGTCTTAAATGTTTTCCCTGGAGATTTTTTTTTTACAGACCCTGACCATGACCCAAATAGAAGAAGGGGTCCATGGAAAACTAATTAGGATCAAGACCAGAGGGCCAGTGTATCCTAGTAAACCAATTCTGTGCGTTTGTGTGCTACAGTGTGCGTGTGTAGCGTAATTTGCTGCTAATACCCTCTCCTTGACCAAGAGTGGGCCCATACAGGTAGTGCACAGGGTTTTCATAAACTTTGGACCCAGAATGGCTCTTTGACCTAGTTCTAATGTGTGACACAGGTCTGGTCATTTTACACCTGGTCTCAGAGACGCTGTTTGTCTGAAGTTAAAGAACATACAACAACATCAACAACAACAATCATACAACATTTGATTAAGAAGCATTTTCCAAACATAAACTGCACCTTAAAGATTAGGTGAGGAGGAATTTGCTTTTCTCTGTTTTATCTACA